TTTTAAATAATACTTTTTAATATTTTTGTCTGTTTGTTTTTAATGTTTAAACTTTTGTTTGACTCTCCTGTTCTAGTTCAAAAAAATATGCTATTATATTATATTATATTATATTATATTAAATATATTATTATATTATATTATATTATATTATATTATATTATCTATTTATCTATCCATCTTTCGTTCTTGCCTTATAACCGTCAAATGTCAAGGCTTTTTAAACTTTTAAAAGAGCTTATCACAGCAACATTCAAAGTTTATCTTGACAAACTTTCCTTTTCAAGTTAAATATAAGATATATTATAAACCATAATATTAAATGCAAGACTTGTCTGTTACTGGATGATCTTAAATTCCGCATTTGTAATTTCAAGTAAATTAACATTGGAATTTCTTCATCCTAGCAGGAATTCCATTAGAATTTAAAAGGCTTCTCAACTGAATCAAGCACTCGAGTTCTGAGGAACTCTTTCAACAGACATTTCACCACAACTTTTCTCTCTCATCGGTCTCTCTCATCTCTCCATAACCTCACATCATGTAGTGGTCACTCTCTGACCGCTGCGATGACGGACAGTCCCAAAGGTTCGGTTTTACCGCACATCCTCTCGGCGTCTGTGGTGGAGTATGGTATAAGCTCAGGTCATCACTCAAGCTCTCTGTGACCGCAGGCGGATCTAATGGGAGCTAATCGGGCGTCAGCTCTCTTAGGTCATTTTTGCTTAACCTTCCAGAAAAGAAAAACCTAATGCATATAGAAACAACAACAACAACAAAAAACATAGGCCAGACAGGTTTAGAGACCAAACACCTTCAGCACAGGTGTAAAACGGAGAAAACAAAGCACATTATGTTGTTTGCAGGTGCAAGAGCCGGAAAAAACACATCGAAAATGTGAGGCTGGATTACTGACTGTTTCATCCGCCTCATAGCCTGCCAGATGCAAAGGAAGCTGCTCTCTATCCTTCATCTTATCTTTGGAAAATGTGTCTTACTCGTCCATTTAGCTTGCTGAATTTTTCATAGTGCGGAGTCAACACACACGACAATAAAAAGGTGATTTCAAGCGAAAGCCATATCCGGCAGACTTTATGGGCGTGCGAGCACCTCACCTGGATCCCCCTCCACCACCACCTTGCTTTCTGCCCACATCCCAAGACAGAGTGAAGACCACCCCTCCCTGTCAGGCTTATCTACTGTTTTTCAGGCCACTGGACAGACCTCACCCCCATTGGTGCTTTGAGACGGGGGGCTGCATCAATACTGCTTAATGTTTTAGTGAATTACAATATCCACCCCAGGCTATGGGCTGCCTCGCTCTTTTTCCTCTGTCTGACTAGGAGAGCATCAGACACGGCCTGGGTGGTGCAACTTGAGGAGTGGGATGAAAGAAAGAGATGCAGAGTTAGATGGACGGAGACGTAGACTCAGAGAGACAAACTTCCACATCTAATCAATAGAACACCCGCACTTGTCAAAACTTGAGTTCGGCGCCCCACGTAACTGAAGTTGCATGTACGGGCTTGTGTGTTTGTGTATCAAACTGTACATGTTTAATCAAAACAGAACTGTACATCGATGCTTAGCACACCGCGTGTTGCGTCAGCGTCTCGGTTTGAGCTTCTGGAACTTCGAGACACTTGTTAGAAAGTGCAAACAGATAGAAAGAACTGAGAAGTAATAAAATTCCGGCCTCCTTATTCCTTACTCCTTCTCACCCCTCCACGCCTGTCCGTCGTGCATTCGGCCACGGAAGAGTGCGTTTTTCATTTGGATAATGGAGCATTGACTCTAATTGAGAGGACAGCCTCATTTGTTTGCCAACATGTCAATGGCCGGGCCTCTCATTGTTTCCACTACATTTACATTAATGCATTTCTCCCCACTTCTATTAAACTGCATCCCTCCCCAGCCAAAGCTGCTGCTGCTGCCTAATGCTGCTTAGTCAGTGAAAAAAGGTTAATAACAATCAAGCAGAAATGGGAAAGAAAGGCTCTGTGTTTCCTACGGCTCTTCATTGGCCTTCTGTAACGGACAGCGGTTGAAAAGGCAGAGGAGACCAAATTCTGCTGAGATTTTCTCTTTTTGTAATTTTATTTATGGGCTTTTTAGCCCATATTATAGAACATTTGAGAAGGACAGGAAAGCTGAGAGAATGGGATTGGGAAATGACCGTATGCTCAAACATGAATCCTCAAGAGCCAACAGCTCTCAAGCACCACAGATTTATGTATTTTTAATTGTATTCATTTGAATCATTCTTTTATAAGCATTTTTAATATTTTTATTTTTCTAAAAAAATTTAATACTATATTGTTTTACACTAATATCTTTTCATAATTTTTATGTTATTTTAATAATTTTTTAATTATTATTTTATAAATAATGTTTTATATAAACATGTTATATTTTATAAATAATGTTTTATATAAACATGTTATTTTGATGTTTTTAATATTAATATAATATTTGTATATTTTAATTTTTATACAGTTTTTACACATAAACCATTATACATATATTTCTTTTTCTTCTTCTTTATTTCTAGGAAAATAAAGAATTAGGCATGTTTTTTTCTCTCAATTTCAATTTGTTTTAATTCTACTTCACTGAATCAAAATGCAATTCTGCATTCTGTTCGCCTTCTCAATTCATATTGAGTTCAGATTCAAGAATATTATTGTCTGTACAAAATACTTACGTGGTTCCAAACAAGAAGTCGTTTGTGTCCAGGGGTGCCTGGTGTTTTATTTTTTTAAGCTCATCAGATTTTGATTAATTAAGGAGCAGGCACAGTAAGTGCAAGAGAGATCCCATTACCCAAAGGTTGGTTAAAGGAGCTGTTATTGCCTCTCTTAACCATGAGCTCTCAGGACAGGGTCAAACTCCAAGGTCCTAAATTTGTATAAGATTAATACGTTGATATGAGTCCCTCGGGGTAAGCAGATTTTATATAGCAAGATTCAGACACATACAATACACAAACACACATTTACAGAAAAACACACAATGCACTTTGTATGGATGACCCAGTTGCACCTGTGCTGACAAGAGCACTCTGCCCCAGAGAGTAGCCCTCATCTGTCATACACACACACACACACACATACACACACATCAGTGTTTTACCGTTGAGATTAGCCAGGTCATCTGTCATTACACACACACACACTGCCCTTGCACATCAACACACTAACACACCTGCATTATGTCCAAATGAGTACTTCTCAGCTCTCATCATCTCACAATACACACGCTCCCTAAAATAATACATCTGACCATCTGTAGTATCAATGAAACATTTCTCATTGGGCCTTTAAGCTGCACTTCAAGAACAGTCACTAAGCCAGTCTCCACTAGCACAAATGATGACACCTGTCAGAGGAAGAGAGAAACATGACGCGCCGCCACATCCTAATGTTCGCTGATAAGATTAGAAAACATCGTGTTCTTCGGTGACTCAAAACGAACGGGAAAGCAACAGAGTAAAGAATCTCATTTGCATCCTCTTCAGTGGAGAGAAATGGATGAGAAGAAAGAAAAAGCACATTCATTTACATGCTGATACACAGAGCGAAAGAAAGACACCTCTTCACACAGAGACCTAAATGAGGGGGTAGATACTCATTTAATTCCAGCACGGAGACAGAGAGCGAGAAAAAACGCGTAAGTGAGACAGAATGAGTGAAACAGAGGGAGGTGAATATGAGGAAAAAGACGAGAGAGGCCGTGAAAAGGGGAAACAGCAGCTTGTATTAGAAACCTGTAATTTAAATCAAAGGTTATAATCAAAAATTTATCAGTTAATTGATCTCGCACATGCTGCTTGCCAAGAGAGCAATTTAGAACCCTGTCGCTCGGGCTGCAAATCTATCGAGCGCTGCTCTATAAAGTAAGTTTGTTGCCTTGTAATGATCAAGCAGTCCTCTAATGTTCTCTGAGAGCTGATATGATAGGGCCCAGACAAAGCCATTCAGCAGCTGGGATCCCACGCATCTCAGATGCTGCTGCTTTTCTCTGATAAGACAAAGAAAAATCATGCCTCAGAAGGAAGGAACAGTACTACCAAATATTACAATTCTGTAATAATTTACTCACCCTTATCTTGTTGCAAATTTGTATGCTTTTTTCTTCTGTTGAACACAAAAGGAGAATTTTGATGAATCTTCATGTAATATTTTTCTCCATGTCTTTTAAGCTCCAAAAGTCCTGTAAGTTTTTAGATAGATGTATGTGAGGAACACACAGAAATGTTGTTATTCTTTGATAAACTTTTCTTTTGAAGATTGTTGAGTGAGCTGAACTTGAGAACATAATCAGTCCAAATCATTTAAAAGAACTACCTCCAAAGAAAAAGAGTCGTTCACAGATCTAATCCTCAAGTTCAACTCACTGATTCATTGATTCGTTCAGAGAGGCTCTGGAGTTCTGGAGGTCAGAATTATCAGCAAATAATCTAAACTTTGCTTTGTTCCTCACATAATCTGTTGTATGGCTTTAGAAGACTTTGAACACAGAGCACAAGTCATTTGGACTGCATTTATGGTGTTATCATGCTGGTGTTTGGTTATTTTTGAAGTTTGAAAGATGTACGGTAGCCACATATTTCTTCTTTTAACTCTTAATACATTTGAATATCAGGTGAAACATGTATAGGGGGAACATTCCTTTTGCCAGCAAGAACAGGGATCCGAATCAGCGCTTGGATTTAATCACTATAAGTGGTTTTAATATCTGAGGCTTATCATGGTGTATGATTCAGTTTCAGATTATCAGGTGCAGTAGTTGCTCTGCAAGTTGTTCTGCCATTATCATGGAATTAGGTCCCATTCTCTCCTCTCATGTGGTATCACAACCCAGGCATACAGGGCTCTTGTGATGATCGCTCATGTCATGTCTCATTGCAGGCATTGTTCCTTGAAGAGCCAGAAAATCTGGATTAGTATGAGATATGTAAGAATAACACTGATAAAATCTCTCTCCTTCTTTCTTTCCAGGGTAACCAGGAGGCCCCTGCTCCCCCAGAAGCCATGGCTCAGCCGTACGCTCCAGCACAGTATCCTCCCCCTCCACCTCAGAACGGGTTGCCTGGCGAATATACCCATCCTGGGCAGGACTACACGGGGCCCAGTCCGGTCCCTGAGCACGCTGCAGCCCTCACTATCTACACACCCACACAGACACACAGCGAGCCACCTGGCACTGACAGCAGCACGCCTTCCCTCACAGGGACTAGCAGCATACCAGTGAGTGCCACTAGCAGCATGCAGGCATGGAATATTTATTTTATTTTTATTTTATATTTTATTTTATTTTACTTAGAATTCCATGTGAGTCATACAAGTAGCAAAATCACAATGTAATTATGTTGCATCTAGTGTAAGGTGAAAAACCTGTGTTATTTCACAAAAACAATCCTGCTATGAAAAATAATTATATTTTCAATTAAAAAACAATGCAACTTACAGTTTTATAAAGTGTACAAATATTTATGCAAAGTAAATTGCCATTGGGAGGTGGCAAAAAGTTTATTTTTTACCCCATGAATAAGACGTTTTTATTCATTTTTGAGTTACTTTTTACATTTTTGTTGTCAGGATCAGACTCTATCGGCCCATTTTTAACATGTCTGCATTCAGACAGACTGAGATAAAGAGAAATTGGGGCTAGGAAATAGAAGAGTGTGGAATGAAAAGAGCTATAGAGCTAGTGCAAGCAAAGATAAAAGCATAGGACAAAATAAAAGACGTTGAGAGAAAAACCATCCTTCTCCATTTAAAGAGTTCTTCTGCTTTCTCTTTCCATTTTATCAAGCTTTAAACCATGGCTATCACATGGCTTCATATCTTAAACCCCATGGAGCCATTTACCATGGCTAACAATATCACAAACGTCTCAATGGACCACTTAACGAGTGCTGCCCAAGTGCTTTATCTGAGCATATGACAAGAAACTCTGAGAGGAAAGAGTGTCCTTAGACCCGGTCCCGTGGGTAAGTTGTGTCTTGTCTGTTTGCGCTGCCCTCTCTTGGTTCCTATAGGCCTTTGATTAACACATTCACTTACACTGGGAGGAAAAATAGGGGGGAAAGCAGAAGGACAGATAAATCCCTAAAGGTTATTTTATTTTATTTTATTTTATTCACTTACATTTGATTTGATGTTATATAAAGGATTCAGGGCTTGACACTCAACCTTTAAAAAAATACCTATACCATGGGCCTTGTAAAATACAAGGTTTTAGCATCATTTAGTCACTGTATTCACTGGAAATGTTGTCGTAAATATTGGACAATTTGGCCCAAAGTGTCCCAACTTTGTCTGCAAATCTAAGTATCTACATAAGCATCTAAATACACTTTCTAACCGTTACTTTTGTTGTTATTGTAGCTAAACTACTATATTTCTTACATTAACAAGATATTTAATGTTGTTGATAAACACCATGAGTGTCTAATTTTTTTAAGAGGATAAAGACCTTGCTGGAGCCCAAATTTGTGTTCACAGTTTGCTAATTTACATCATAGGGAACTAGGGAGTAAAATGAGACACAGCCAGAGAAAGGTCATAAGAGAGGAGTGGGAAAGAGAAATTAAAGAGCATAAAACTTTTCTTCAATGCAAAAAGAAGTACAAGGTCTTCCTGGCCTTGGGGGTGGGGGGAAGGATGGATGAAAATTTTATTTTTTTCTCTTTCTGATTGGGATATGCGTAAAGCTCTGAGGTGGTGTGGTTTAAAGGAAGTAGATATAATCCCATGCTCAGCAGATCGCAGAGAAGCGATGCTGACAGGCCCCGTAAAGGCACCTGAGCTCTGGCTGGGCTAATCCACGGCTTGATTGGAGGATGTACTTAAACTGTCACTCTGGCCTAACCCACCAGGGAAATTCTCCCTTTCTCCCTCTTTTCTCTCTCCCCGCGGAGGATCATTAGTAAAGAAGGAACACTACACCTCAGAGAGTGGACGGTAATCACATCAGATCACATATCAGATCACAACAGCACAGACTCTAGATGCTCGGTAACTCTGCGATAAAAGACTACTTACCTCTCTTTAGGGTGCGTGCTAACAGTTTTCCACTACGACTGTCATATTGCCTTGGGTGGGATTGTCTAAACTGTGATTTGCAACTCGCTCAAACACAGCCGTACTGCTCAAAGGAGCGTGATGTTATGTTATTAAGGCAATGCCATTATTTCCTGCACTTATTCTTAGCCGTTTTCCCTGAGTAGTTTTTACTGTGCCGTTGATAATAATATTGCAGGTATAAGCGCTCTTTAAGCCTCCGTATTCGTTACCGGCTAAACCTGCTGCGAGTCAGATTACCTTGTCTAATTAATTAGAGCTTTGCGCAAGACTGAAAGGCCAGTGTCTTCTTTCTAGATGACAGGTGATGGTTTGTATTCGCATCTCGGTGTGAGGGAGGGATGATGGGATCGGAGGGGAGGATGGCAGAAGTGTAGAAGAACAAAAAAATATAAAGCGGCTCAAGCTAATCCCTTTAAGTGAAGCACTGGTTTGGCCCTAATCGGATGTAATCTACCTGCTTGGCAGCTTTCCAATCAGATAGTTTCAATTATGTGGTTGTAGGGGCATTCTGAAGGGGGGAAGTGCTGAGCTGAGCACTTTGAAAGTGATTTGCAGATAACACTGAATGAGTGCGGCAATAGAAACGATTTAGCAGGACTCATTCCCCACCCAACTGCACATAAAAACACAGGCATGAGCGAATGTGGGCAAACACGAGTCTTCTGTGACGTTGCGGTAGGGGAGGGGGTTTGGATGTGAGGTCCAATGTGGTGGTGTATGATAATGTTCAGGCAATTATTTCTTGGTGCTGCTTGGCTGCTCCATTCCTTGCGGAATGTGAAGTGCAGGGAAGTTGCTCTTCTACAACAGGAACGGAAACAAGAAGTGCATCGGATGTATGGAATGAGCGTAGTCCAGTGTTAGGGAAGGCTAGCAGGAAAACACAAGTGAGAGGAGATGATCCAGTATATGCTGTATGTGTTAGGGCAGGGGTTTTTGAAATCGATTCCCAGGGCCAACAAATATGATTATCTCCTTTTGAGGGACCTACTATATATTTATAATGTGTGAAGGAAATATTACGTGTGATGTTATAAAGACAACATGTTACAATCGAAATGTAATTAATTGTCTTTCATACTGCCATTGTACTAAAGCACTTAGAACAAGCAAATCAATCTGCCAATGTGGGAAGCAAAACAAGCTTATTTCAAACAGAAAACAAGATTACTTGTCTAGAAAATCCTTCTTGACTTAAGAATTTTTAGATATCTTGGCTGGAAACGAGACAAAAAATCTAAGTAAGAAAAGCATTTTTTGAATGCATATTTCATTAATATCGTAATGAAACATTAACTTTGTCAGCCCTAAAAATACATTGTATATATTTTTCTTTCAAATTTTCAGCAGATACTCTGAAAACTTTTCTTTTAGTTCAAACAGTTAGCATTTCTTTTCAGGTTGCATGTAGTAACATTCAATTTAAACTTGATATGATGCATGTTTACTGGGAAAATGCTGGACAGAGTATGTCAGAGCGATAAATAGTCCACATTTGTCATTCTCTAAATCATTTGGCATATTTAATCCCAGACCCTGGCAAACGGAACATTGTTACTCCTGACTTCAGTTGTGGTAATTGGCTGTCATAAACCTTTAGAGGGAGTAGTATACCTACTTGGGGTTAATTTGGGGAGCTCTTCTTAGCTGACCATAAAATCCTCCCGTATGGATTTACTATTAGCTTTTTTGGCAGGATCCACATTCTGGGACTCTAATGCAGGTTGCTGAGCTCCTCCCCGTTGTCATCCTGGTAAACGGAGTGCTGGAGAGAGGGTCATAGTCCGTCTGCATGTACAAGAAAGACATCAAATCCTCTTCCTAAACATCTCGCAACGTTCTCCGGAGGACGACCTGGCAACCCGAGCGAGCGGGGAGTTTGCCTCCGCCTCGAACGCCGAACACTTTTAATTACTTTTCACCTCGTCTGTGGAACTTGGGAGCGCAAAGCCCTCTGAAACCTTGTCTCTGAAAGAGACAGATGCAGCCCATGCTAGCTGCAATATAATTAACATGCAATTAACACAAATTAAAAGGCAAATTGCGCCGACAAACCCCCTGTAGATGGCTGCTTAGTGGTGACGATGAGATAATTAGATCCAAACCTGGAGTGCGGAGTCTCGAACGCTTACCTCTCCTCTCCCTCTCCTGGCCTGGTGTCAACTCCTCCAGAGAAGAGCACTCCAAGCCGCCACGCTCAAGAGCAGGGGAAGTGCTCCGAATAAAGCCAGAGAGATTATATCGTTCTAGTCGAGAGAAAGCGAGCTGGACCGTGTGTTTTACAAAGCGCTTGTTATGGCGGAACAATTGTCCTCTTTTTAAGCAAAGCGCGCAAGTCGAATGCGAAGCAGCCCTACAATTTCTCTTCATTTTTATCACTGTCCGCTACTCGCTGCGCCGCGTAGCTACATGATGACTTACATCTGAGAGGATCTAGTCAATACGTGTTCCCATAAAGCAAGCAAATCAAAGCCCTCATCCTTCTCTCCAGCACTTCGTTGGGCAGAGCGAGGAAGTGGAGGCTCTCAGAGGCCACGCTACGCCGGTTGGTAATGGGCGAGTCCGCGCCATCGCACCGCTCACCTGTTAGACATGATAGATAGTGCGGCTCTCTCCAGAGCGACTGCAGACAGAGCATGTGAATGACCGATGGCACCGGCGTGATGGATGAGGATGAGGGAGCGGGAAGAGGTGCAGCCCAGGGAGCGGGGGCACCAGGGGGTAATTGCACCTCTGCTTGCCCATCCATCTGCTCGGCTTTCCATCTACCACCATCAGGCAGGGGTTACGGGCCTCCGCTGCTCGCCGACCTCACGCGGCATACACAAGGGGCAGGACGACAGGCTGTGTGGATCCAGAGCCGACCCGTGTGCTTTATCTTAACAGGGCTTGACTGTCTACATCGCTGCGATGATTGATAGTGCCAATGTGCTGGTAAACACGGTGTCCTCTCACAGAGACCCCGGAGGGCCCATTGGGAGAGACTGTGCATTAGAGAAGATGAGGAAGTTGTCAGATGGAAAAAGCAGAAGTTGGTGACCCTCGACATTTAATGGTTCAGAGGTTTCGCCGTTGTTATACTGTATAACCTGTAGCGAGAGTTCAAACTTCCCTTCATCGTTCTCAAATAAAACTGATTATTGATTACTGACCGTGTGAAGGGTGTATGTTTAGCATTGTCTATGCACAACATTTAGTGTAATCATCTATGGGGATTTTTATACACAAAGGAGCTTTTTAAACACATGTTTAAAGGGACATTTCATCTAGAAATTTATATTCTGTTATCAATTATGCATTTCAGCATACACTTTAAACAATATTTTAATTGTTTTTTTCCATACAGTGCCAAAACAACATTTGACCAAATATATGGACAAAATAAACACGGAGACATTTTTCAAAACAACATCAATATTTTTACTCTTGGGTTTATGTTTGTTTCCCCTAAAAATTGCCTTTGGTAGAGCTGTAGTACTATACTGCTGTAAAATGAACATATTTCTTTCAGTAACGTTGCTTGAATAAATATCAGATAAGCACAGAAGATGCTTGTCTGCATGGTTTATTATATCTTTATGTTAATTGCAAAAAAAGATACATCTTTGAGACCCATAGAAATATAAAGTCGCTTCTGTCATGTTACTGGTGTAATTTCCCCTGTAAAGACATATGTCCTCTGCAATAATGGTTTTGTTCAGCGAGTTAAACTTTAAAATCTCATTTCAGCTGATATTTTATCATGCCATTTTTCACCTTCTCTCTGTAATGAGTTAAAAAATGAACGCCTTCCAGGTCCAAATCTTTTGCATTTGAGTTGGTATTATGTTCTTAGCTGTGTCTACATAATTGCATTTACTTCACCTTTTTCCTCTATTTTTCTCTGTCAGGGTGCGAGCGAAAAGGGATGGAGTGATAGATATCTCATTATATCTTCATTACCTAATACATGATATATTGCCGTCTTCTATGATTCATATCTCTTGTGTGTTTTGTGCCTAATGAGGGGGAATTTGTCCAGCCCACTTATTATAATTAACTATGTACACGAAATGCAAGAAAACACGCTTGGAATGTACGGATAAATCTCAATACTATCAAAAATGATTGAAAAATCAATTCAATAGGGATGCACTGAAATCATGTGTGAGAAAGTTTTGATTTTCAGCTTCAGTTTTTAATCTTCAGAATTCACTTTAGTGCTCATTTTATGCGTGAAAAGTTTAAGCCTGTTTTAGGCTTTTCTGACTATTGGAAGCTTAATAAGATCCAAAAACTTAACCATTTCACTATATCTAGCGTGTCAGCTTTCAGGCTGTTTATACTCCATTGACGTCCAGTCCTTTTTAAGTATTTAAGTCTACTACTATTGTTCATACAATATTTACAACATTTTATTATTAACTTGTTCTTCACTGTTTGTGCTGCGGACCTGAATGATGCCTCAAATCATGCAACTTTACTTTTGCTTTACTTTTAATGCACTTGACATTTTTCAGATAAATTTTCACCTTACAGATGATAACATAGGCAAAAATACCCCATAGTCTTACACTGAAGAACCCCCAAGCCATTTGTAACTATGAGAATATCATAAAGACTGTGGATTGTACTGTTTTAGGCTAAAAAGAAAGCACCTAGCAACCGACAAGACACCCTAGCAAACACAGAGCAAATTTCTTTCTTTCTTTCGTTCTTTCTCTTTCTCTCTCTTTCTCTCTCTACAGTGTGAGTGTGCTCTAGAATACAGCTGTCTATGGGCCCAGCCAAATGTAGCTGCCTTCAGCACTTCTTTCTCATTGATCCTGCTAAGCTGGGGGAAGTTTAGCTGACATCATCTCTTCATCTGTGCTCCCATGTTCTTCTAATTCATTATGTACATGAAGGGCTGCCGCTCTGGTGCTGCGCTCACCATGCTTTTTCCTTCACTGAACATGTCTGCACACAATAGCTGAAAAACGCAGAGGAGTCTTCTGCATCTGCCAGCCATTGCATCACGTCTGGATTAATTATTAATTCAGTTAAGCACTAACCTGATCCTCCCTCAAGAGCATTTTGTTAGATAATATTTTTCTTTATAGTTATTGATTTATTATTTCTTTCTGTATTGTTTCATAATATTTGATATGATTGAATGTACATAGGTGTAGATAAACAGATATTTTCACTGATATTATTCACACTTTTCTACTTAAATATGTGTTTGTTTGTTTATTAAATATTTCATCACATTTTGGTTATTTTCCAGCTCTGAGTACATTCAGTGTAGTATGTACAATCCACACCACAGATTTTTTTTTTCCGAAATCTGCTCAGAAAATGCAAAACCAAAAGGTGTTATTGTAAATGAAAAATTAATAATAATATAATCATAATATTATGAATATATGTATTTTATATAATGTCAATATTATTTTATCATAATAATATTGTAATATACTTATTTATTTAAATTATCATTTTGTATTAAATCAACAATGCATATTTTGTTTTTATTGTTACGGTGTATGGAATATTTCGTTTTTTATTATCAAAAAAGCAAAAAAAATTAAGACAGCTAAAAAATTGTTCTCATCTTGGATACTTAGAATAATGTTTAATAATTAATACTGGCTGTAAAAAAAAAAGAAAAAAGAAATCTTGGTTGAGTTCTATAAGAAACACCACTGTGTAGTTTTTGCACACCATGCGTGACAGGGCGTCTGGTCGGAGTCTGGTCAGATGAGGTCTTATGAAGCTCAGAGAACAGCGAGAGTAATAGTGAGAATGGGATGAAGGCTGTAGCATCAGGGCTTGTGAGGTGAAAGATGAATGTGCGTCACGGACAGCAGTCCATCCTTGAGCACAGCTGTGTCACTACCATTTCCTCCACATGATGGACAGATGAGCACACCATCTTTACGCTTACTTTCTCTCTCCCTCTCCCATTCTCCCTCAGGTCTTTATAGGCGGCTGCTCACTAAATGCATTCTCTGGTCTCCCCATGTCAGAGGTTTTTTTTTTTTCCTTAAATCGGTATCCACACTTCCTGACAGCTTCCTTAATCTTCACCGCCACATACAAATGTTGGCAGAGTAGAGGGAATTTGTAATATGCCACCAGCATGCCCTGATCTCCCACTGCTCACCCACCCCCTCACCGCCCCGTAACCGTTGCCCGCTGCACTTTTTCCAGGTCGTGACGGCATTTGAGGTAGGAACTAACAGGGCTGTGCTTGTGTGTCTTTCAGCAAGCGGACGATGTGGCGCAGACAGACGGCTCTCAGCAGCTTCAGCTTCAGCTCCAGCTCCAGCCCTCAGACTCTTCGGAGAAGCAGCAGCCCAAACGGTTACACGTCTCCAACATTCCCTTCCGCTTCCGTGACCCAGACCTCCGGCAAATGTTCGGGGTGAGTCTCAGGCCTCGGCCAGATGGCAGCAGGTTGTATCTCAGAGGAAGGCCTGATTATCAATCCTGTTTCAACTCTGACAAGGACATTGATGTTATATGCAACAACGATGTGGCGCAGACAGACGGCTCTCAGCAGCTTCAGCTTCAGCTCCAGCTCCAGCCCTCAGACTCTTCGGAGAAGCAGCAGCCCAAACGGTTACCCGTCTCCACCATTCCCTTCCGCTTCCGTGACCCAGACCTCCGGCAAATGTTCGGGGTGAGTCTCAGGCCTTGGCCAGATGGCAGCAGGTTGTATCTCAGAGGAAGGCCTGATTATCAATCCTGTTTCAACTCTGACAAGGACATTGATGTTATATGCAACAGTGCAAAACCTGTTTAGATACTGTAGTTGTAGTCTGTTTTTTTTCTCCTCTAAATGACTAAACTAGGACTAAACCCAATTTAACATTTTAATTGAGTTACCTAGTGTGGCCAGTGTAGTCTGATTCCCAAACAAATTAATTTTATAAGACTTTTTTTAACAAATGAAAAACATACATTTTAACCAGTATTGTCCGTTTCCTGAGCAAATGAATAAGCCATTTTAGTGAATCAAAAATTTACAGTGCAAGCAGTGTAGTTTGATTTTTAAGCAAATTAATTGTATGAACCATTTTTTAATGAATTTTAAAAAAGAAAAAAAAAAGCATACAGTACAACTAGTGTAGTCTACTTCCCAAACAAATGACTCTATTGAATCAGTTCTTTTTATTGAATCAAACACCTAATTGTAAGACTTAAATTGTTGTTCATATGACCGTGTGTAGTTCAAGATACACATTAGGTGTGTAATGGGGGGGTGATGGCGGGGATTTCCCCCCCTCTGGTTTATACATCCCTGCCTCTGCTGAATTATTTTATATAAAAACATAATAAAACAGATAAAAACATCTCGCAATCTCGCTCCGAGGTCCCGGTCTAAATCTAATGATTCACGATACGCAAGGAGTTTCTTCTGCTCATCAAGGCTGCATTTATTTGATTAAAAATACAGAAAAATAAACAGAAATATTGTGAAATATTTTTACAATTTAAAATACCAGTTTTTTAGTTTAATATACTTTAAACTGTAATTGATTTCTGTGATCAAAACTGAATTTTCAGCATCATTACTCCAGTCTTCAGTGTCGCATGATTCTTCAAAAATCATTCTAATATGCTTATTTATTATCAATGTTGGAAACAGTTGTGCTGCTTCATATCATTTTGGAATCTGTGGTACTTTTTTCAGGATTTTTTGATGAATAAAAGTAAAAAAGAACAGCATTTATTCAAAATAGAAATCTTTCCTAACAATTAAAGTCTTTATTATCACTGTATTAATTAAACACATCCTTGCTAATTAAAAGCATTCATTTATTGTAATATATATATATATATATATATATATAT